ATCTCTGACCTGCACACACCCAACACCCACACACGCTGCTGGTGCCGATGTGTCCGGCCGTTGGTCATCACAGACTCGTCTGTTGATGTGTGTTATCAAAAATCCCAATCTTTATCCTCTGAGTCAATTTTCCTGCTCCTCCAACACCACCCACCTCCACATCACTGCATCCATCTCAGTGCCACAAAACAGCCCGATTGTTCCTTTAAAACCTCTTTGTGGTCCATAAAAAACAGACTTGTGTCTGCCCTAATGGCTTAATGGGCTTTTTGTGCTACATCCACCCATTCAGAAACCCTGTCTCCACACACAGTGTTCAGCACTTTATAATTCAGTGCAACTGCAGGGATGCGATTACGACAAAAATAATATGTAGTACTGTGCATGCAGTACTACTTAGAGACAGTATAATACATCATATATATTAAATCTTGTCTGGGTAATTAAAATGGTCCACTGATGTCATGCCAAGTTATGAATTGTCTGACCTTTTTGTTGAGCCTTTGAACCGAGTGCAGGCTGATACTGTTATCAAGGTTAACATTTTAACAGAAAACATCCTTCATCCAACTAATTGGATCTACAGTGAGATGCAGTTTTTTTAAACTTAAAATGACTAATTAATATATATTATGTTATATTAATGTACTTCCTGTGTTCACCTTTTCCAATTAATTTTTGAAATAGCTTGTTATTTTTAAAAAGATTTTTGCGTTCAGTTCAGATCTCTCACGTGTGTGGGTTGTGAAGGGTGCCTTTAAATGACAGGCCAGAGAAAGATGAAGTCTAATTTAATCTACTGTCACATTAGGAAAATCAACATGTGAGGTATTTAATAGTTATAATCATTTAAATGTGTAAATGATTCACTGCAGGAATCATTTTCACTGCAGCAGAAACTAAACAAAAATTGAAAAGCAACATGTCCTCACACAGAACGTAGACATATAATTATGTCTGCGTCCAGTCTGACAAGGTGCATGTAAGATGTATAAGTGAATTCTAATGTAATTGTAAAACAGTCTTTATGTTTTATTAGACACATTAATTCATACATGTGCCACATTACTGTATATTATAGCAAATATATTTTTGATTTTAATATCTTTAAAATATATTTTAATTTTTTTTTAAACTCTCTTCTTTAAAACTTTCTACACATTTCTCTCCCTTAATATTTATGTCTTGGTTTATTTTGATTCTGAACTGCTCCTGCAGTCCATCTGAAACACCAACAGTTTCCCTCTGGGAATCAATAAAGTATTTCTGTCTAACTCGTTCTAAAACCCATGTCTTGTACTTGGTCACACAGCCGATAAAACCCAATTTTGAAAGATATTTTGACCTTAGGAAAGGTGGTGTGATTGAATGTTAATAGGTTTGTGATGGTTCGGCAAACTGCCTTCGAAATCATCTTTTTTGTTGTTGTTGTTGTTTCAAACATTCAGACCAGACTCAGAACTTTTTCCCCCTGAATATCCATTCTACTGTGATATGAAGTGGTTCATATAATAATTTGTTATGTGCATTTCCCAGACACACAAAAGAGAACGCCAAGCTGCAGGAAAAGAAGAAAGAAGTGAAGTGGTATAATGGGCTTCCTGTTGTTGAAATACAGTGAAAAAAGTGTGGCACTTTGTCAATGTCAGTTTGTCAACCTCATCCTCCTCATCAGTTCTGGCTGTGCGTGTAGCAGTGTTCAGGTTACAGCCTGATTCTAAAACCAACTGGAAAAAAATGAGGGATTTTTTTTTCAGCATCTTAGAAACATTTTGTTTCATACTTGCCAACATGTATAAAAACAGGGGAAATAATTTACAAAATGACGTACGCGTTGATGTGTGCTGTACATGTTTGTTAGTTTGTTGTTTATTTGTTCAGTGGAGTCAACATGAAGCCGTGAGACCAGTAGGAACAGCACTCTGTCATCATTAGGAGTAAATCAATATGTAAAACCATTTCACTGCACGGGTACAAATGACACTCTTCTTTTCTGATTCTCAGACTTTGAACCAAATCATCTCTTGCTTTTACAACTAATGAAAATCCAGCTGGCTGATTCTGCTAATTTGTCAACTGTGGGCTGGAGGGGTGTAAAGAGAGATGCTTTTTAAAGACGTTATTGATTTTGGTTTCCCTCATGTCTCACACCATCTGTTCTCCAATGACACCGTGTGTATTTTGTGGTTCTACCCCAGATTTGCCCTCACTGTAACCTTAAACCTCACATACACTCAGTATATCCTTCAACTTTACTCCTAATTGTTCTTCCCATATGTTAAACCCACAGATGAAAAAAAAAAAAGAAGCAAACTGAAACTAACAGGAAATGAAGATTGTTGGCTCCGTTCCACCGTTTGTTTGGCTAGGATAGTTGTTTAGTTTGTTTGGAACACTGGTAACTGCCCTTTAAAAAAAAAAGTAGACTTGATGAAGATGCAGCTCCATGATTAAGAGCATGAGACGTAACCACACTTCAGTTTCTTGTATTGAGTGTCATGGCCTGCATATGGGAGCCAATAAGCCATGAAAGTGATCTTTGGCTCTTTTGATCACTTGCATCCCCACGGGTGTGCTGGGTCATTTTTTATTCTGGGTTCAAGATCACATA